CAGTGGTAATATAGTCGCCAATTTGCGACTGTTTGGTGACTGCTAATTGACGACTATATTTAAGTCGCAAAACAGTTGCAAATTTGTAACTATTTATATTAGTCGCAAATTAGCAAGTGGTTTGCAATGATAATTGTTTGATCATAATTAGTAGTAAAACCGTCGCAATTGAGTCGCAAATTTGCTACTATATTGCGACTATTTATATCAGTCGCAAATTAGCGACTGGTTTGCGACAATAATCGTTTGGTCGCAAATTTGTAGCAAAACCATCGCAATTCAGTAGCGATATTTTGCGACTACATAATCAGTCGCAACATGCAGTCGCTAATTTGCTGTTTTCTTTTTGTGGTTGTAGTCTTCATCATTTGATCTCCAATCACATTCCCCTTCTTCATCAAAGATGATATTTTGACTGATGATTGTCTTTTTCGAATTAGGATAATAAAGCTTGTAGCCTTTGGAGTCTGCATCATATCCAATGAAGATGTAATTCTGATGCAATATCAAAAATAATAGTGAATAAATGTCTTCATTATGTGGATTTATTATCAGAATCTCATGTTCATAATTTCAAAATGTCAAAATATTCTCATGCAATGTACAAGGAAAAATTGGTGGCAAGAAGACAATAATTTGATTTAGTTTATTTTTCTTCTTTTGTATAAATGTATATAATTTTATTTAAATATACTTTATTGTAAAGATCTCTTGATAAGAGCTATAAAATCTTAATTGTTTTCATTGTAAAAATATATAGAATTTTTTGGAAAATGAAAGAGAAAGTTCTGTAAAAGCTTAGGCTTTGTTATCTTGTTCTATTGAGTACAAGTGCGTGATTCACTTACATTCTTTAGAAGCCATGAATTTAGAGTGTTTGTGTGATTCAAACAAGTCTAGTTCTCCAAGGACTGAGTAAGCCAGTCATCCCAAGGACTGAGAGAGTCAATCAAAAATTTGATCTCCATCTCTATTTTGTCCACATTTTGCCAAGGCTTGTTTACTCTTGACATCTTGTAATTAATAAGATTTGGTGTGATTCCAATCTTATATCAACTTCTCACTTTTATCATCTAGCTTGCTTCAGCTCTCGTCTGATACATGAGTTTGAGCAAGGGTTCCAAAGACTCTTAGATGTGAAGCATCAGCCTTTCTTCCACTTAAGCTTCTTGTGGTGTTTTTCCCAAAGCGCTTGTTGTTGGAGATCGATTTGATAAATAAATCACACTTGCAACTACTTTGGCCGAAAACTCCTTTGGTAGTTTTTTTTACTTTTGAGCATGCATTCTCACCATATCAAGAATTGTCTTGTTCTTCTTTTCCACTACTCCATTTTGTTGAGGAGATCTTGGCATTGTCAATTGTCTTCTAATGTTATTATCTTCACAACACGTCTAAAGTTGTTTGGACGTGAACTTTCCTCCACGAGCAGATATTATAGCTTTGATCACAAGGTCAATTTCCTTCTCCACATGGGTTTTGAACATTTTAAAGTTTTCAAACATTTTCTGATTGTTTTCTTCAAAAAGTAAATCCATGTTTTTTCTTGAAAAATCATCAATAAAAAGAAAGAAGTAGTTACTCTTGCTGAGTGATCTTGGTTTAATCAGGCCGCAAACATTTGTATGTATGAGTTTCAATGGCTTCCGTGCTCTTGTTTCTAACTCCTTTGGAAAACTCATTTGAATTGCTTTATATGTAAACACCCATTCCACATTTATTTGGATGATTGATGCGAGGTAATCCTCTCACTATTTTTTCGTAGAAAGTGGCTTCAAACCTTCAAAAATTGAGTTGTCCATAACAAAGTTGTCAAAGCCAGGATTCCTCCTTGTAGCATACATTGAGACATTTTGCAATGTTATTTTGAATGTTAAGACAAACATTCTATTCTTTGACATCAACACCTTAGTAATAAGATTGTTAGTTTGATCTCTTATAGAAAGGCTAATATCTCTAGTCAAATATCATAACCTTTCTTTAAGAGTTTTCCAAGGCTCAAGATGCTGGTCTTCATACTTGGGAATATAATAAGAATTAGAGATGAACTGATAATCTCCATTCTTCATTCAGATCATATTTTTCCTTTATTTTTCACCTCCATCTCTGATACATTTTCTAAGCCCACATCTCCTTTCACCGATTCATCAAGCTCCAGAAACATGCTTCTTTTTTCTCACACATGATTGCTTGTGGACCTCATCTTGTTCATCCTTTTTGTAATGAAAGAACCCCTCAACCGATTCGTATTTTTCGTCTTATTATAGTTTTTCATCAGAAATTTAGTGCAAGAACCCTTAACTAAAGATGAATTGAAAAAAAACCTCTCAGATATAGATTTTTTATAAAAACCCCTCAACTATTAGTTCGTTAATGAAAAAACTTCTTCTTCTATAGTATTGTTAAAATCTTAACAGCCAATATTAAATCAAAATTCTACATTTTAGGTTGTAAGAAAATGAATGACATGTGTTTTGCAAAATCTTAAATGATTTTAATGAAAACGACCCCTCAATGTATTACTTGTGGACCTCATCTCGTTCATCCTTCTTGTACGCCACCAGTAGCATATCATCTTTTTTGCTTTTTCTTCAGCATAGTTAGACTTGTCTTTAACTTTATTGTTGGTTAGAATTTTGGATTCAGAAGCATAATGTCTAAACTTCTCAGTGTAATAGCATTTAACGTTTAATTTGTTGTATCTTTATTTTGGAGTTCCTCTCCCATGTCCTCTTGATGAACTTTCTCCTCCTTTTTTTTACAAGAGATCAAGCTAACAACCTCATTACCAGCCATGACCTCTTCCTCTTTAGTTGGTCTAATCATCATAAGACCTCCAATCTCGTCCACTTCCATAATCATAACCTCTACCTCGTCTAAAAATATATCAAAAGGTTTTAAGAGCATCTCCAATCTACTTTTATTTTAGAAAACAAAATAGAGTTTAAAAGAAAATTCTTTTCAATCCACCTCTATTTTTACCTTTAAAATAGGGGATGCTATTTTTTCCTCTATAGTAAAGATGAACTTTTTTATTTGTAAATTGATCCCTCAACTTTTAAATCTTTTTACTTTTATTTACGTAACAAATACATAAATTTAATTAACTTTGTACATAACTCATTTTTTATATATTCAGCAAATAATCATGTATCCAACATATACTATGACTAAATAAATAATATAAAATTTTGGAAATATATAATATACTTAAATATTTTTTTCATTTAAAATTCGATTATAGATAATTCTATAAACTAAAATATATTATGTTTTATATTTTTATATGATTAATGTGATATTATTTGTATAATAAATGTTTAATTTGAATATTATTATAATTTATATAAGTTTTGTAAAAGACAAAACAAGAGGGGTTAATTTATGAATTTTATAAATAAAAGATATTACTAATAAATTATAAATAAATTATTTTTAGATTATTCAATTTTTAGAGAAAAAATAGAGTAAGATATTCAATTTTTAAAATAAATATTGTTAAAATCTTAACAGCCAATGTTAAATCAAAATTGTGCGTTTTGGATTGTAAAGGGTTTTTCCACTGAAAACTATTTTCATCTCATTTTGTCACCTTTCATCCCATTTTCTGATCTTAATTCTCACTATATGACTGAAATACATTAAAATATAATATAAACTTTTGTTCTTTGTCTCTAATGGGACAAGATAAAATGATAATAAAAGTTAAGAAATCTCCTTTCCAAAAATCTGATTTCATAAATTTCACACAAAAAACTTGAACTTTTAATTATTTCGTCAAAAAAAACTTACTTAAAAATAAGATTCTAAAAACTTTCCGTCAAAAACTCGATTCTGCAAATTTTTTGCCAAAAATATGAATCATTAACTTTCCCAACCAAAAACATTACGTCAAAAATATGATTCCAAAAATATTTTGTCAAAATTTTGATTTTGTGATTTTTTCGCCAAAAAATGATTTCATAAAAAAAAAATCACCAAAAATCCTACATTGAAAATGGGATTTCATAAATATTACAAGTCAAAATTTTGATTTTATGAATCAACCGCCAAATAAGTGAAGTTGTAAAAAAACCAAAAAATGTACTTAAAAATCTAATTTAAAATAAATTATGAGAAAACCCGATTCCAAAAATTTTCCGCCACAAACGTGAATTTGTAACTTTCCAACCAAAATATTTATTTTAGAATATTTTTATTTGATTTTGTGAACTTTATGCTAAAAATTGTAAATCCATAATTGTTTTTGTCAAAAATATGATATCAAAAACTTTCCAGCAAAATAATTTGCAACAAATTTCCTGCTAAATACTCGAAACGTTAAATTTCCCTATAAAAATTTTGCATCGAAAATATTATTTCAAATCTGTTTGACATAAATCTCATTTCTCAATTTTTCGGCCAAAAACTTGAATATTTAAATTTTTTATTAAAGTTTAATTTCAAATTTATTTATAGATGAAAATTTTAAAATATTCTGATAACTCGGTAATAAAAATTCTCGCTTAAGCCACATGTACTAAAAATTGATATAACACAGTTACATTATCATTATATATTATCGTTTCTATATCATATTTAAATTGCTAAAACTAAATATACTAACCAAAAAAGTTAGAACAAAACATTTTTTTTTTAATTAAATTACAAGGGATATAACATCTCCAATGGTCTAAACTTTCGTACAACCGAACCGGACATCCGAATATAGAAGTTTTAAAAGTTTGTTAGTGGGCTTATTTTATAGGTCTTCCGATATATTTCTGGGCTTTTCTCCCAACGTTGCCGTTTCGATCGAAGACGAACACTTAATCGCTACAGAGATACTCAAAGGAAGAGGAAGAAGACGAAGAAGAGAGGGAATCTGATTTCAGGGATTCTAGGGTTTATGATTGATGATTAGAGATTCATAGTTCTTCAACTACTATACTTTATTATCGAAGAGGAATTCTAGGGCTTAGGATTTGGTTTCGGAATCTGATTTTCGGAGATTGAACGAAATGGGTAAGCATCGGAAGAGAGAAGATACTGATTCGGACGATGAAACTCCATCTTCAGCATCATCTTCGTCTTGTTCCTCCTACAGCTCCGATGACTCTGATTCGTCTTCTAGCAAGCGGCGTAAGCGGCGGAAAAGCGACGGAGGTTATGAGAGAGAGAAGCGAAAGAAGAGAGAGAGAGAAAAGAGGAAGAAGATGGAGAGGAGGAAGAGGAAGGAGAAAAAGATGAAAGATAGGAAGAAGAAGAAGCGTGATTATGAGTCTGATTCCATGTCTGATCAAGAGGATGAGCCTGAAACTGTTGTTAAGGAGATGCTCATAGAGTTTCCTAATGTTGGCAATGACTTGAAACAGGTAAATTGCGAGAAAAAAAAATTCGATATCTATGTGTTTAATTGACTCTTTTGTGTTTCGAAATTTTTGATCTTTATGGTTCTTCTCGCTTTGTAGCTTTTGAGAATGATAGATGATGGACAAGCGGTTGATATTAAGGGTATATCGGAGAAGGCTTTGAAGACGCGTTTGAAGAAGCTGTTTCTGTCTTTGAAGTTGAAGGAACGTGGTGATAGAGTGTTTCTGTTACCACCAGGTGCTTCTCCTTCTTTAGATATAGTAGGGCATCTTATTAAAGGCAGCGAAGAAGAAGATGAAGGAGCTGAGAAAAACCTTGACGATTCCAAGAAAACTGAAGCAGATGCTACTGGAAATGGGATTGATGAGACGAAAAAGACTTTGGGAGATGAAAACGGTATTGGATCAAATGCAGCAGATGATGTTGCTGGTCCAAAGAAAAGGTCATTCACTATATCTCGTTGGCTTATTGGTGTATCAATTATATAAAGGAATAGCTGATAATAAAATTAGCGGCGAGAAAACTCAAAACTCAACAATCTTAGATCGCCAAACAGCTACTATTTATTAGATAGATTTATATAAACTAGTTATAACTTTGGAACGTGCTGGAAAATAGCTTGTTAGATTTCACTTTTTTATCGTTCCGTGTTTATGAATGTGAATGTGAATTTTATGTACGTGGTGAATCACGTTTTCATAATGTGAAAAAGCTACAATCCATTCAAACCTAATGTTTGTACACGCTTTTGAATGATTAGATTTAAAAGTTGTGTTGAGAACAAACATGATGGTGTTATGATTTGATTGCAGAGTGATTGGACCTGCAATGCCATCGGCTGAGCTACTTGCTGCAGCAGCTAAGCTAACAGAAGCTCAAGCTGAACTCAGGTGCGTGCGTTTATCATATCTTACTTTATATAGAAATAACTCGTCCCTTAATTAATATTCTTTTTGGAAAAATGCTTCAGAGAAGCTGAGCTAGAAGAAGATTCAGAATATTTTATAGGACCTGCTCCACCTGCTGTTGTCGCGGAAGTTGCATCCTCAAACGAGGCAGAGCGATTCGAAGAGGTTCTTAGCTTTCCTTCTGCGTTTGCAACAGTTTATACTTTATATTTTATTCGCTAGAGTAAGAACTCATATGCCTTATGTAAACAGGTGACACGGATCATGGAAGCTGAAGCTAATAGTCCTTACGATGTTTTAGGAGTGAATCACAATATGGCTGCTGATAATATGAAGAAGAGGTTTGGTTTCTTTTGGGACTCAAGAAAATTTAATTCTTACTCTGTTTTAAGTAATCAGTTCTACGATTGGTATAAGACAATTTTGGTCTGTATAGGTACTGGAAGCTGTCTCTTCTTGTTCATCCAGACAAATGCTCTCATCCTCAAGCCCAGCAAGCTTTCGTTCTGTTAAATAAAGCTTTTAAGGAATTACAAGATCCAGAAAAGGTAGAGTTGCTGGATCATTGAGCATTTTAGCTGTTTATATCCGCATTTTTTTTATATCTCTAATGTATTTAAGTTCTACAGAGAAAAGCAATGGATGACAAGATTAAACTTAAGGAAGAACAGGAGGCATTTAAGGTTTGTAATTCTTAATTTATGTAAACCTCTGTGATGAATCTGTTGGTATGACTTAGCAAAGACGCGGTGTACTTGCTCTCTTCAGGCTGAATTACGCTCAATGCAAGAAGCAGCACAATGGAGAAGATCACAAGGTGGTTATGAGTCACGGTGTTTAATCTCTGTCTTTATGGGATGAAATAGTAATGGATTTTTCTCGGTTTTGAAGGTATATCAATGGAAGGCGACGAAGAGCTACTAGCTGCAACAGAGGTTAAACCTGTACCTAAAAGAGACGAATGGATGACAACTCTTCCTCCTGAAAGAAAAGTGAGAGACTCGCATTTGAATCGTAAATTATCTTGTTAGGCTTCAAAAATTTTAATCGTATAGCGGGTTCTTCTTTCGCAGGCCGGAGTGGTTGTGCAGCAATCGACGACGACATTTAGCAGAAATGCTAGAGAAGGACGCGGAGACACTACAGTCTGGACTGATACTCCTATGGACAAAGCTGAAAGAGCAAAGATGAAGTAAGAAACACACATATCTTTTAACGTCTTGTTAACTAAAGTTCTGAGCCACTAAGATTGTTTTGTGATAAAGTCAAAGACACATTTGGTCTGTTTGAAGAAGTTCAGGTCTTCAAACTTTAGCTATAGGGTCTACTATAACTAGCTTAGGACTGCTTGTAGCAGATTGTAGCTGTTGTGAGTTGGTTAGAGAGAAATTATTGAGGGCTGGAATCCGCTGGATTTAGTTAAGAGTAGAGACCTCTTGTTAACATATAGCTTTGTTTTGTGATAAAGCCAAAGACACATTTGGTCTGTTTGAAGAAGTTTAAGTTCTCAAACTTTAGCTGGCCTAGGACTGGATGTAGCGGATTGTAGCTTTTGTGAGATGGTTAGAGAGCAATTAGTTAGGCATTTGGTTGAGAGTAGAGAGCCTTCGCATTACTCATACTCTCTGGTTTTGTAATTGGAACAAGAATAGCTTTGTTCTTATATTTGTTCTCTCTGGTGTTATTGCAGTTACTTAGAGGCATATAATAAAGCGAATGCGCTTGCTTCAAACGAAGGGGAGAATATGAAAAGAAGCTTAGATGCGGATCTTGTGGACAAGTACAACAAAGAGAAAAGATCAAAGTCTTTGGTAGAGAAGCACAGAGAAGGTTCTTCTTCTCTATCTTCAAGCCGTTTGAAGAAGAAGAAGAAACTGTCTTCGTCTTCTTCGTCCAAAGACAAAGCTGATGAGAAGGATGAGTGGGTGGGGAAACATCCGTGGAAGCCATGGGATCGCGAGAACGACCTCACTGCAGGGAGACAGAGTGTGAAACTCGATGCTGAGGGTATGGCTGAAGGTTTGGCTTCCAAGTTTTCTTCTGGGAATTTCCAAAGAAGTTTTCTTTGAAGCTTCTCTTCCTTGTTATGACTTATGAGCATGCATTGCAGCATGAAATTTGTTTATGTATTCAATAGATTTTTTTCCCTTTCTAATAGGGAAATTTTCTAAAACACCATTGTTATGAACTTTTGAAGATCCATCGACCGCATATCCAATCATGTTTAAGAAGATGATGCATAATCCCTTAAATTGTTTAAGTGTTCAAAAAGTTGGCGAAGTCATGCATAATCTCTAGGGGTGCGCATTTTGATTTTTTTGGTTTTATGGTTTATCAGTTTTATAAAAATTTAAATTATATAAAAACCATATATAATTTGATTTGATATGGTTTTGTTTTTTTTGGTTTATGGTTTTTCAATTGTTCAGTTTAAAAAAAATTAAAACTATATAAAATCCATATATAACTTGATTTGGTTTGATATGGTTTGGTTTCAGTTTTTTTGGAATTATACTATAACAAAAAAATCTGATTCAAACTAGCAATAATAAATGTGCCTGAAATAAAAAAAAATAAAAAAATAAAATCCAAATCATAAGAAATCTATTAATAAAACTAAATTTATAAAAATCAAAAACTAAATTAAAAAAAAACAGATTTTGATCTTGATCGGTTGCTATTTTTCTTCTTCTCATATTATTTATAAATCTCTGATATACAAAATTTATAATATATAAATATTAAAAATAATTTATATTATTAAGATCTAAATATAATTATAAACTTATAATATATTAAAGACTACAAAAAATCAAATTTGAATATCAATCATGAAATAAAAATAAATTTCAAAAAACGGAAACAAACAAAATATCAATCACATATAAATAATACAATATTTCATTTTTTTGTGGGGGTGTTACATTATTCAATATTTAATTTTACGCAGAAAGGTATTTATAAATATAAGTCAATTCTTCCAAAAACCTAATCGTATTTAGTTAGCCCTAAATTAATATCTTTCGTCTCCATCCATCCTTCGGACCATGATCTCCGAAGAAGTTGAACAAACGCATCAGACGATTTCTCAGCCACCGTCGTCGTTTTCTTCACTCCCAGACGAAATCGTAGAGATCATTCTTGCACGTGTCTCGAGATGGAATTATCCGACGCTGTCTTTCGTCTCAAAGAGATTCCACTCTCTCTTATCTTCTACGGATATCTATAAGACGCGATCTCAAATCGGATCCCAAGAAACATGCGTCTATGTCTGCTTACAGTTGCACAATCACCCATATCGGAGGTGGTTTTGTCTTTGGGCGAAACCTAATCAAACACTAACCAAACAAAGTTGGGAGAACACGTTTAAGCAGGATTCAAGTGGGAACTCGGTTGTTCCGATGCCTTTCCCTTCTTCACATCCTCCTCACATAACAGATAATTCCACCATAACGATTGGTTCAGAAATCTACATAATCGGTGGATTTGACAAGGAGCCGTCATCCTCTGTTTGGATCCTTGATTGTAAGAGTCACACGTGGCGTGACGTACCTAACATGTCCGTGGCTCGGGAGGATGCGTCTGCTTTTTTCCATAATGAGAAAATATATGTGATGGGAGGTTGCGATGTGGACGAGTACTCTGCCAATTTGATTGAGGTGTTTGACATGAAGACTCAGTCGTGGACAGCTTTGCCGGGTCCTGGAGCTGATGATGATGAAATAACTATAGTATAGTTAATGTGTTTAAAGGAAAGCTGTGCGTACTGGTAGACAAAAAGCGGTACTGGTACGACCTAAAAGATGGTACATGGAAATTTTTAGGAGAGAAGAGTTTCGTATTGGACAACGTAAAGGATGGGTGTTGGATATATATAGAGGATGTAATATACTGTTGGACATTCTCCGGAGATTTGATGTGGTGTGACTCTAAAAGTGAGCCTAGAGAATGGAGAGAGATCAAGGGTTTGCCAGAATTGCATGAGGACCCTACACTGGGTTTTAAAACTGGGTGTGATCAGTTTGCAATTGATGAATATGGTGGGAAATTTTTGCTTATGTGGAATCTTTTTAGTACCAAACCGAAAAACGAGCTTCGGTATGCCAAGATTTCCTTAGAATCAAGAGGCAATGGACGTGAGGTTTGGGGTGAGGTTGAGTGTGTCGATGAGCTTACATTTCCTTGCGAAACATACGAATCTTTCAATTTTATAAGTGTTTCGGTTTAATGACTCTTAGTAGTTCCTTTTGCTTTGAACATGTGCTCTTTGGTTCTTTGAGTCAAGCATGCCTTAATATTTTATTGTTTTTGGTATTTCGTATGAAGAACATGTGTTTTATATATATACTTTGGGTGTGCTTTTTAAAATTAAATCCAGAAGATGAAAATGTTTGTAGAGCGATGGCTTGCAAAAGAAATCCATTACATTGAGCTCATGAAAGAAAAAGTCGTTTGAACCTATAGCTAAAATTTTATGTTGTTCGAGAATGGTACTCAAATAACGAGCAAAACCACAAATTTGAGTACTCAAATAGCTTAGATAAACAGTCCCCAAACACGGTCTCAAAGGTCCCACGCGTCTCGAGCAAAACTACAAAAGTTGTTCATTTCCCTGTGGCTATATAAAGTTCTCGAAGAAGAAGATTAGTAAGGTTGAGATGTCGTAGGCTTTTGTTCTGTCTCGAGATATTAGAGAATTTCAGTTACTAGTTGTGATTTTTAAATACATTTTTTTTGTCAGTTTTCGGTGGCAAATCTCAATTATGGAGGTGACGTTGTCAGTTTTCGGTGGCAAATCTCAATTATGGAGGTGACGAAACTTGATATTAAGGTTTTTTCAAACTAAGATAAACTAGATATCGTGACTAAATGCTCTTTATGGGCATTTTCAAGTAATTTCTTTGTGATTTTTGAGTCATTTCCAAGTTAACATTTCCGTTTCGTAACACAAATGATCTTTTTACAGGTGAGTGCAAGAGATGAGAAAACAAAACTTAAGACAAACTTTCAGCAATCATTTAGTATCAACAGTGACCATGTAAAAAAAACTACTTTGATTTATATAATACTTTCGTACATATCTTTTGTGTAACATTTGAACTTTGTTTATGTTTAGAGGTATTTTTTGAGTTTCTAGTTACAAAAAAGATATTTTTTGAAACTACGGCACTTTTTCTATTGAATTGACAATTATATCCTTGTGTCTAAGTGATGAAAATCGATTTGCATACACGCGTTGGTGTTCATCCATTGTCACTATCATTATGTATCCATCAAATCGTATTATAATTATCACTTAGTAACAATTTGTATCCAGTGAGCTGTCTATCAGTCCGCATCCACGTGGACACCATCCATTGTTACTATCAGTTAGTGTCCATCAAATCGTATTGTAACTATCACTTAGTAACAATTTGTATCCATCGAGCTGTGTCCATCAGACCGAGTCCATCAAATTGTGTCTGACGAGAAGAGTATTTTCGGACATTCAACTGAAATAGATAAAAAAAAGATTCGAAAGTGCCTTAGTTGCAAAAAAATGCCTCTTTTTGTAATTGATAACTCAAAAAGTGCATCGGAGCGTAAATAACTGACACTACCAGATAAAAAAGTCTTGTGCCAAAAAATGGAAAACTTAGTGTGATTTTTATAAGTGATGCAAACGACTTTAGTGTCATGCATTATTAAGTCTTTTTATTAAAGTATTGATTGGTTTAGCCATTACCAACTTACCTATAAACATAGTTTTTGTGGATGATAGTAGTTATTAGCGTTTGATAACAACCGTATACAAAACTTTCTACTGCTTTATATTACTGTAAATCTCTCAAAATAAAAAAAAATTTCTACCCACATTTGTAGGTGGATACTTTTTGTTTTTTAAAATATAAAATTTATTTAAACCAAATATTGTATTAAAATAACAAAAAATTATAATTATTAAAATATATAAATAATTTTGGTATTTTTAATTAATATTTATTAACATATGTCATAATTTTATATGTTAAAATATATTATAATTTATCTTTCCATCACTAATATATACTTCTGTTTTATAAAAATTGTTAGTTTAAAGTTTTTCACACATATTGAGAAATTAATTAAAAACTCTATTTGAATATATTTATTTATATATCTACAATAAAGTTAAGATTATATTTTGTTTAAAATTATTCATTAAGAATTTAAAAGGACACTTTTTAAGAAAAAAGAATAAAACCTTAAAACAACATTTTTTATGAACTGGAAAAAAAAAAAACTAACTCTAAATCCTTAAGTGACACCAAGTTTTTAGAGTCAGTCCTTAATTGACGTTAACCAACAAAAAAACTGTGACTCTAAGTACCATTCTTGAACAACGTATACCGTGTTCAAATTGCTTTCTCTTTCATGAGCTCAACGTAATGGATTTCTTTTCCAAGCCTGACTCTAAAAGCAGTTTCATATTCTGGATTTAATTGAAGAACAACCAATATATATATATATATATATATATATATATACATATTCAAACGAAAGACAGGAAAAAAAAAAAACGAAAGAGTCATTAAACGGAAGCACTAAAACAATAGAAGGAATCGTATGCTTCGCATGGAAGTGTAAGCTCATCGACACAGTAATAACTTGCATATTTACATAGGCTTGGATAATTATATGTTTTTAAATCTCTTTCATACCTAAACTCTCATTTTAGGTCTTTTTTACATTTAATAAATAGTTTGTGTCTATGTATATATATATTGCATGTTTTTTTGTATTTTCAAGGTGTTCTCTAAATTCTATAGAGACTAAGGAAGTTTGCTAGCAACTGGAGTTAAAGTGGATGCATAGAGAAGAGCTTAAAGAAAGCAAAGCAAAGGAGGAAACTCTCCCCCGCGTCTCGCATTGGCCAAACACCTCGGAACAGAATGATCAGCAAGTTTGGAGAAGTGCACCAGCATGTTAGCCTGGCTTGCACACCTTGGAGTGAAGAAGCCAGAAGTATTGGAGGATCATATCGGGCACCTGCCCCGGCTTGCATTCCTCGGTGCAAGAGGAACCGAAGGATCAAGAAGCTAGCTCGCAC